TGCTTTTACACGCGCATAAAATGACCCTCGCGCGCAGATTAAACCCCCGCGAGAGACAGCCCTCTTGCTTGCTCGCGGGAGTGTCAGCCTCGCAGAGTCTGTCTACGCGCGCGTGAAAAGTTTCTGGCACTTTGGGGCGGAGCCACTGGACTTTGATTGACAGCTGCCAGGAAACCCGGGGTTGCCAGGTTTGATAAATGCCTGAACTGCCAAGAGCCGAGGAGTGACGGCAGCAAAATCAGTTGGACGAGATTGAATGGTAAAGTTGTCCATAAAAAACTATTATATTCGTAAAGTGTACAGCTAATATATATATATATATATATATGATTCTGTTTTCTTCAAGGTTGTGTCTTCCTGGTCGAATGTACTTATTGTAAGTCGCTTTGGATACAAGCGTCAGCTAAATGCAATGTAATGTAATGTAATATACATTAATTTGATATAAAACAATATATTTTTCAGTGGGCTGTGTCCGTCGAAAACTGCTAGCTACTGTCTGCTGTACGCACCTAGATTTTGCTGCCGTCACTGGTCGGCTCTTGGTAGTTCAGGCATTTATCAAACCTGGCAACCCCGGGTTTCCTGGCAGCTGTCAATCAAAGTCCAGTGGCTCCGCCCCAAAGTGCCAGAAACTTTTCACGCACGCGTAGACAGACTCCGCGAGGCTGACACTCCCGCGAGCAAGCAAGAGGGCTGTCTCTCTCGCGAGCGAGCGCAGAGCCGCTCGCGGGCGCAGAGCCGCTCGCGGGCGCAGAGCCGCTCGCGGGCGCAGAGCCGCTCGCGAGCGCAGAGCCGCTCGCAGGGGGTTTAATCTGCGCGCGAGGGTCATTTTATGCGCGTGTAAAAGCACATTTTCCGCTCGTGAGTAGCTTGTTTTACGCGCGAGAATATTGACCCAAATCTGACTCCATATTTAGTGTATAAAACACCCCCACTACTTAGACTATTCCTTGCACCCCTCTAGCATAAGCCCGAATGGTCTCAACCATATTGCGTCAGTAACGTGCACTTGTTGTTACAGCAGGATCAGTTTGTGTGTTGTGGACACGACCGGTAGATTTTCGCAATCCGTGTTCTCAACATGCTTACTTTAACATACTTGTTCATGGTCAGGCTAAAGTAGGGCTAAGCCATCTCTTGGTATGGCTGTAGCCTACCCCAGCCATACCCTGCCCACAAGTACTTATCTTTCTTTACATCGTGTCCTTTCTGCCAGGCCATGACAACATTGACAGCACCTATTCTTTCACACACAGTGACGTCACGAGCTACCCACAATGCAACACGCGCCATATATATATATATATATATATATATATAAATACGCCATTTTCATGGAGGTGCAACTATCCTGGAAGTGCAAATATAAACAGCTAGCTAACGTAGCCAGGCAGAGCGCACTAGGTTTTTTTTCTGAATTAAGGACCGAAGTAATCGCTGCATGTCTTCGGATTACATCTCTGGACTTGAGGGGTGTGCTCTAGGTCGTTACCAGCGTACACTAGAGCTGTGTGGGTTGTTACAGACTGCCTGCAGATGTATGGAAAAACGACAGTGGCCTTCGTCGATTTTGGCTGCATCTACGTCTATTTTCTGGAAACACCAGGTGAATACCCCACTTGTCACAATAATATTATCATGCCATTGCATATATGTGGTATTTTAGAGTTGACGAGATATTGATTAAGGCAATAGACTATGATATTCAGTACAGGAAGCAAAGCAATACCTAGACGGCAGCGACGTGCAGTCAGGGGAGGCAGGGGAGGCAGAGCCTCACCTGTCATACTCATAGACTGGCCATACTACAATGTAACGGAAAAACAACTAAAGAAAAACTAAATAGTAATAATAATAAAATGTCTCCACTGATCTGTGTTGTAAATGTGATTTATGTTTGATTCCAATCGCTTCTTATAGTCAAAATCAGCAAATTTGCCGAGCTCCGCTACAACTACGGGTAGCGATGAGGAGTGAGGCAGGGACGAGCTCTGCCTCACGTAAGCCCACAGTAACTGGCTGGAGCGCGGGCACTAATGTAGCGCGGGCACTTATTTTGTGAGCGCGCTGCAGCCAGTTACTGTGGGGTGAGGTGAGGCACAGATGAGCTCTGCCTCACCTCAGAATGCGTCACCCCACAGAAACTGTCTGGAAAGCGGGCCCTAAGCGCATGCCTGCACCATCTCACTGTAGGTCACCAATGTAATGTTTGTAGATCCCTTTATTACATTTATCCTCGCCATCCATAGTCTCTAAATAACTTATTTCACGTATATATGATATTTAGGCTCGCTGGTCTCATCGTACAACGGCAATGAAAAATGCACCAGGGGAGGCAGCCATAACCTCTGCCGCACTGAAGGGGGCGCACGTGAGCCCACAGGTCCTTGTTGCTACTGTTATTCTACGCAGAGACGGTAGACCAGACGCAAACAACAAACTAGACTTTTGAAACTAGAGGAAGATAAGGAGGACTTTTACAAAAAAGTAATAGAGATTGTTGTCCTTGTCCAGAAGGAAAGCATGGACTTCATCTTCAAGTCAAGGTAAGACCACATTAGTAATGAAAATGGGATCTTACTAAGAAAGAACAATCCAATATTTAGATGTTGGGTATCCTTTTGTTGAACGGTCTGTTTAAAATGAATCGAAACATCAGACCAAAAAAGCTTTTGAAAATAACAGAATATTTCGATTAAGGTCAGAATATAATATTTGTAAATCTGACTCTGAAAGAGGTCAAGAGAGTCTCTCAAAGAGTCAGTGCCTCACCAGCCATGAACCTCACCGCACGTCACTGCTAGACGGTGTACGGCTGCTTGCACCTCGCGTAAAACGGTGGATACCGGAAGTACGGTGTCGCGCACGGCCCAATACCCGTATGTGTGTGTGAAAGAATAGAAGACACTACAGGAGAGGGAACACCACAGAGAGAGGAACAAGGACTCTTTAAGACTTGATGGACATGTTCACCTTTTCAGGTCTTAACCAACTCTACACTGAACCAGAAGATGTGAACTCTATGAATGACTCTGTCTCAGTGTTACGTGGTGCCAGCAGGCGAGCTGTTGTTTGTCCTCCTGCTATTCTCTCTTTTCCCCTGTGTTTCCCTGCAGGTAATCAGCAGCTGATCAGAACCTGCCTGAGCACCTCAGACTGGCGGCTGATTGGATCCCCTCACCCTCAGCTGGCCTATCAGCAGCCAGAGCCAGTCATTAAAGGAGGAGCTCCAGGAAGCCTTCTCTCTCTCAGACCTGCTGCTGACTCCAGAGCCTCGGTGTGATCTTTGACTGATTTATTGAGTATTGTTAAATGTGTGTGTGGTGGAGGATTTAGGCACGTTTGGGATACCCTCTCTTTCCAGATGCATACATTATCAGGGGAAAGGGCAAAATTCGGTTATGTTCAGAAAAAGAAAGTCATCGATATTTTCAGGATAAATAAAGTCAAAAATGTCTTTTTTATGATTTCTTCAGAAATCTTTCCTTTTTAAAAAAACTCAAACTGTTGATATTTCCCCGTAAAGTCAAAAGTTGAGATATTCAGGAAAAAAACTCACAATATCGGGGTTTCTTTTGAGAAGAAAAATCTGATTTAGAAAAAGTAAACATTTTGAGATATTCAGAAAAATGTCAGAATTTGTAGATGTTCATACTGCCTGTGCTGCAGCACCTCTTATCACCCTCTGTCTGAAACCAGAGCCCAGTCTGCTCTGATTGGTTAGCTCCATAGAGATGTTGATAGGGGAATAAACAAAGAGTCTAATGGAGGCCTATCAGGAAAAACTAAAGCTCCTGATCAGATATAACAGGAACTACAAAGCTGGTTATCAGCTGACTCTTTGAAACCATGATTTCCTCCTCAGGCTTTCGAGCCCACATGAAATCGGGCATTTGTTGTATCATTTGACTCATGAACAGCATGAAGGGAGTACTATTGGAATACATGTGATGATGTGGTGAGGTGTTTGGATTTGTCAGGTTGCTCTATCCTTTCACAATTCTCCATTGATTTTTCAGAAATAGTATTGATTATACCTCAATCTGTATGGATATACATGATACATGATATCTGCAAGATAATAAGAGTCTGTCTAATGGACTGGAAACTTTGAAGAGGAGGAGCTGGTGTCCGTCAGGAAGAAGCTGTGGAGCAAAGCATATAATGAGTCAGCAATCCAGAGGGGGAAGAAGTACTCTCATCATTTACTTCAGTAAAAGTAGTAATACTGCAGTGTAAACAAAGTCAAATTCCTGCATTCAAATGTAACCTCAATAAGAGTCAAACAGTATTAGCATAAAAAAAATACTTTACGGAAAAAGTATGCGTTATGCAAAGTGGCCATTTTAAGCACCAGGTATTTTCAGTTGTTAAAATGATTGATGGGGGTAAAGGTGGGGTTTATTTGAATGACTTTATAGAGTACTGGGTAGCTTCATCTATAATATAATGTGTGTCGATTTATATTGTGTATTAATATCCTAAATCTGCTATGTCAGTCAATCTGTAAAAATACACATAGTGAAGTAAAAACTACAACACTTGCCTACACAATGTAATGAAGTCAAAGTATGAATTAGTAAAAAAGTAGAATTACCTCAATGTTTTACTTCCTGTTACCACCTGGCTCAAAAGGCCACAACAAAAAGGAGACACAACATGTCAACGGGTAGAAAAAGGTGTTTATTTGCACAAACAGTTCAAATCAAGTACGGTGTATACTCATCAGAGCCGGGTGCCTGCAGGAGAAAGCAGAGAGAGCACAGAGAGGAGCAGAGAGGCTTTCAATAGCTGCAGGACACCAGACCCAGGTGCCCTGAGTTACTGCAATCGATGCAATCACTGGAGCCAACGCAGCACAGACAGAACAGCCACACCCTCTCTACTGATGGACCCACAGGGGCATCACACTTCCGTACAGTATGAGTAAATGTACTTAGTTACATTACACCACTGCAACAATCTAACGCTAGTTCTTCACCATGAACTGTTCCACCTCACACTGCAGTGAATCGTATGTTAGTCAGGACCAGTTTAACCAGTTCATCCACATTCAGGAGCCGGTGGACGCACAGGCCGGACCGACTGCTCTTCATCTTTGGAGTCTCCCTCAGAGGTTGGATGTGTGTCACTTTGAGAGGAGAAGATGTACTCTTCGAGGTGTCCACTTGATGGCGATGTTGTTCAGAAAAAGGCGGGATCTGAAGTGTGTGGATGTTCAGGGAGAAGCTGCAGAGGTGTTTGTACAGAGTGTTGGTGTTTCCTGTCACTGTGGGCCTCACAGCACAGTAGTACACAGCCGAGTCTGTCACTGCAGCAGAGGAGATGCTCAGATCTGGGTTTTATCCTCATTCGGTTTAACGGACAGTCGAGAGTTGGTTGTATTTTGTGTTCCCAAGTGAAAGATGAGGAACTCTGGTGGATTTCCTGGATATTGTCGATACCAGAAGAAATAATCATCCAATTCAGCAACCTTGGAGTATCTGTAGGACAGAGTAACAGAGCTCTCTTCTGGACTGAACTCTTCTCTCTGTAATGCAGTGAGATCTTCACAGCTGACCCCTGAAGAGAGGAGTCATTCAAAAGACTCAGTTAATAGATCACATTTGATCAACATTAGAAGTTAACGTGTTTATGCAGAAAGTTACGTACCTCTTAGAATGGAAACTAACAGTAGGGAATGTAAATAATAGTGTAATGACAGCATGTTGAACGAAGGTGATGATGATGGTCTGTGTTGAACTCTGGTGAATATGGAAGTTACTCTCTCTTCTATAGTTCAGGAACATCTTAGCTCCTCCCTGAATCTCTCTGTCTCCTCTTAGATCTGTATTTCACTTCTCTCAGTTACGCTTCCTCCTGGGTGACAGATCCAAAGGCAGTCTGTAAATAGAACATGAGAGGACCTATGATTTATCCCTGTGGTACACCACGATTAATCACAGACCACCAGAGTAACTTGTTTTATAAAGGTAAGAACAAAAGCAATCAAAACTTGAGTGTGTGATGTGTACCAGTTTATTGAGAGAGGTGATTTAAAGTGTTTGATCAGTCAGTAAATAAAAACGTAACAATGACAGACGTTAACGTGAAGTCAGATTAGTGAGAGGTGTTTCATCTAGAGAGAAATCTGTTTAAAATGATCTTAATATAAGAAGAATTGTACTTCATACCCAACATTTAAAAGGTCTTGAACACCACAACACAAGCTGTTGTTCCAATAGAACCTTCAATCACATTGTGCTTGGAGATGAACTGAAACCAATGAGAAAGTGAGAGGACCTAGGATTGAACCCTGTGGTACATCACATTGAGTCACAGACTGACATAAAAATATAAACACTTATTTTAAGTTTATGGAGACAGTACTTGTATTTCAAGCTGCGAAAAAAGGCCAGATTCACTGATTGAGTTAAACATTTTAACTTGCAGATGTTAATCAAAGGCAGTGCATGTGTTTGTATGGTAGTGAACAATTGTACATATAGCTCAAACTATCAAGCAAGTAAACTACATTACTTATTAATCAAAAACTATTGATGTTTGACAGAGAGAGACTCCCTCTGGTGGATGTTGAGCAGTATTGTGTTGTCTTTGCTCCAGAGGTTTTTGTACAGAGTGTTGGTGTTTCCTGTCACTGTGGGCCTCAGAGCACAGTAGTACACAGCAGAGTCTGTCACTGCAGCAGAGGAGATCTGCAGAGCAACTGATGCCTTGTTGAGTGTAGCATCAAATCTGTCTTTCTGGAACTCTGCAGCATTAACTCCAACATCTAAGTAACGCATCAACATGTACTTTGGGTAACCATTGACTTCTTGTTTGTACCAGAACAGATAGGCTGTATTAGATGTCTTAAATGTGCAGCCAAGTGTAACTGTGTCTCCTTCAGTAGCGCTGACTTCTCCTGTTGTCTGGGTCACTGTGTCTTGTCCTTTACACTCTGGGGAAGAAGAGACCATGCAGAGGAAGAGATGAATCAATACAGATGAAGGATTAAAGGAGAACAATCAGTAGCTTTAAACAGTTACCTAGAAACATGTTGTAGTTTCTATCTTACCAAAGGAGAGAGCAGCAAGAATAATCCACAGCCAATGTTCCATCTCTACAACAAGGTTTAAATCAGCAGCAGGAAGTAGCTGATGTTCAGCATTCAGTGTGAGGATGGTTCTCTTCACAGCAGCACTTATTATTGACTGGATGGTTGAACACAGTGCAGAAGACGTGCACCGCCTACTTGATCATGTGGCCCTCTAGTGGAGGTGAACAGCTCGGTACAACAGTGTGGAGAAAAGGCTTCCAGCAGCTTGTCAGTGTGTCAGCTGGTGTTTTTGTACAGAGTGTTGGTGTTTCCTGTCACTGTGGGCCTCACAGCACAGTAGAACACAGCAGAGTCTGTCACTGCAGCAGAGGAGAGGCTCATATTGATTTGGGTTGACTGCACTTTAATCTTCAGTCCTGGGATCAGATTATTCATAATGTTTCCATTTCCTAAATGAGAGATGATGAACTCTGGTGGTTTTCCTGGATATTGTCGATACCAGTCAAACTGATCACCACCAGCTGCTTGTTTGGAGTATCTGTAGGACAGAGTAACAGAGCTCTCTTCTGGACTGAACTCTTCTCTCTGTAATGCAGTGAGATCTTCACAGCTGACCCCTGAAGAGAGGAGTAATTCAAAAGACTCAGTTAATAGATCACATTTGATCAACATTAGAAGTTAACGTGTTTATGCAGAAAGTTACGTACCTCTTAGAATGGAAACTAACAGTAGAGAATGTAAATAATAGTGTAATGACAGCATGTTGAATGAAGGTGATGATGATGGTCTGTGTTGAACTCTGGTGAATATGGAAGTTCCTCTCTCTTCTATAGTTCAGGAACATCTTAGCTCCTCCCTGAATCTCTCTGTCTCCTCTTAGATCTGTATTTCACTTCTCAGTTACACTTCCTCCTGGATATCATGTCATCACGTGTGTGTCGTCTGCATAGCTATGGTAACTTATTTCATTGTTATCCATTAACTAAGCTAGTGGAAGCATGTAGATGTTAAAGAGAATAGTCCCCAGGATGGAGCCTTGAGGAACCCCACAGGTCATATTCGTCCACTCAGATTTTTAGTTACCGATAGAAACAAAGTGTTTCCTGTCCTTTCAGTAGGATTCAGACCAATAAAAACAGTGCCAGAGTCCCACCCAGTTTTCCAGTCGGTCTAGTAATATGTTGTGGTCAACAGTTTCAAATGCAGCGCTGAGATCTAATAATACTGACAGTGAGATTCTGCCACTGTCTGTGTTTAAGTGGATGTCATTAAAACGTTAATTAGAGCAGTCTCAGTGCTGTGTGACTGGGACACATCAAAACAGTTATTTAGTTCCAATACAGTCTTTCAGTTGTTGAACTTTTTTATTATTTTACCCGGCCTATAAATGTTCATCAGTGAAGCGCCTAGGTTGTTCTTTAAGAGTGGTTTGATGACTGCAGTTTTCAGGGCCTGTGGGAATAAATATGAAAAACAGGAAGTGTTGGTGAAGGTCCATCAGGAGTCTGGCACCTGGTGGAATGCTCTCATTGAACATTATTAGGATACATGTGAGAGATAAATTAAAGTAACGTGGTGTTGAAGCATCAAATAAAGGAGGCCTCTCTGCTGGGGGTTGAGTTGTTTGAACATTAGTTGTGTTGTTTCCCTAAAGTCTGTCAGAGAGAGAGACTCCCTCTGGTGGATGCTGTGCAGTATTGTGTTGTCTTTGCTCCAGAGGTTTTTGTACAGAGTGTTGGTGTTTCCTGTCACTGTGGGCTTCACAGCACAGTAGTACACAGCAGAGTCTGTCACTGCAGCAGAGGAGATCTGCAGATCCACTTGTTTTTTCTCCTTGTTCAGTGTGGCTTTCAGTCCAGGGATTGGAGGTTCTGCTTCCACCACGTAAGGCTGTGTTGTGTCAGTGATCAGGAGGAGGAACTGAGGAGCTGATCCAGGATCCTGTCTGTACCACTGGAGATTCTCAGCTTGAACTGAATATGTACAGGACAGAGTAACACTACGGCCCTCTGAGGAACACACTTCAGCACTGATGGCAGTAATAGCATCTTCCAAGCTGTTACCTAGAGAGGAAAACATCATGCTATCATTACAGCTCCAAAGTCACAAACCCATCAATTCCTTCATGAAAAAACAACTTTGCTGTAAAGCGTTAATCCAAAATCCAAACTGGATGTGTAATGCTTTGAAAAAGTCTTCATAGTTCCCCTTCTCCTGTCAGAAACATACGTACCTATGAGAGCTGAACAGAGCAGAATTGCAGCCAGTTTCTCCATGTTCACAGAGGGGAAAGCTGTGGTTGTTCAGTATGGAAACGTTTAGTGAGTTGTGTTTGGTCTGATGTTCACAGCTGGAATCAGAGAGGTGTCAGTCATGAAGCTCTGCAGTCAGCAGGAGGAGACTCGGATGTCCAATGAGTTTCTGGAGCTCTTCATCACAGCTGTGAGTCTTAGAGAATCTAATCTAGACTGAATCATCACACCCTGCTGAAGGTGAACAGAGAGAGGCTCCCTCTGGTGGATGTTGATCAGTATTGTGATGTCTTTGCTCCAGAGGTTTTTGTACAGAGTGTTGGTGTTTCCTGTCACTGTGGGCTGCAGAGCACAGTAGTACACAGCAGAGTCAGACAGCTGAAGCTTCTGGATCTTCAGAGGAACAGATCTTAAGCTTGAATCCAGTGTGGATGAGAATCTGTCCTCGTCCTCTGTTTTCCCCGTGCCGATCTTAAAGCGGCTCAGGATGAATGTGGGGCTGTTGTCTCCGTGCTGTTTGTACCAGAAGAGATAGTAATTTGATGAAGTGGTGTTATAGTGACAGCCAAGTGTTACTGCCTCTCCTTTAGTAGCAGTCTTTTCTGCTTCAGGTTGCAGCACGTTGTCTCTTTGGGCTCTGCATTCTGTAAAACAGCAACAAACAGTATCAGGGACTTGTTAGAGAATCATCTCAATGTTGGACTGATTTCAAAGAGTTCATACCAAGACTCATAGCAGCCAGCAACACTGAGATAACCAGATGCATCATATCTGCAGGTTGAGAAACTCTGAGCTACAGAGAGTATAAAGAGGACTGATAAACTCTGCTGAAGTTTAACAGAGAGAGACTCCCTCTGGTGGATGTTGGGCAGTATTGTGTTGTCTTTGCTCCAGAGGTTTTTGTACAGAGTGTTGGTGTTTCCTGTCACTGTGGGCCTCAGAGCACAGAAGTACACAGCAGAGTCTGTCACTGCAGCAGAGGAGATGATCAGATCTATGTTCTTCCCTGCAGACAGTTTAGAAGAGAACTTTGTGTCTGATTTCAGAGACTCTGCTAGACTTTTAAAACTTGTTCCTGAGATGTAGAGAAGAAACTCTGGTGGTTTTCCTGGATATTGTCGATACCAGAAGAAATCTTCACTACCCGTTATAGTTTTGGAGTATCTGTAGGACAGAGTAACAGAGCTGCCTTCTGGACTGAACTCTTCTCTCTGTAATGCAGTGAGATCTTCACAGCTGACCCCTGAAGAGAGGAGTAATTCAAAAGACTCAGTTAATAGATCACATTTGATCAACATTAGAAGTTAACGTGTTTATGCAGAAAGTTACGTACCTCTTAGAATGGAAACTAACAGTAGAGAATGTAAATAATAGTGTAATGACAGCATGTTGAATGAAGGTGATGATTGTCTGTGTTGAACTCTGGTGAATATGGAAGTTCCTCTCTCTTCTATAGTTCAGGAACATCTTAGCTCCTCCCTGAATCTCTCTGTCTCCTCTTAGATCTGTATTTCACTTCTCAGTTACACTTCCTCCTGGTTTTCATGTTATCACTTGTGTGTCGTCTGCATAGCTATGGTAACTTATTTCATTGTTATCCATTAACTAAGCTACTGGAAGCATGTAGATGTTGAAGAGAAGAGTCCCCAGGATGGAGCCTTGAGGAACCCCACAGGTCATATTCGTCCACTCAGATGTTGAGTTACCTATAGAAACAAAGTGTTTCCTGTCCTTTCAGTCGGATTCAGATCAATAAAAACAGTGCAAGAGTCCCACCCAGTTTTCCAGTCGGTCTAGTAATATGTTGTGGTCAACAGTTTCAAATGCAGCGCTGCATCTAATAATACTGACAGTGAGATTCTGCCACTGTCTGTGTTTAAGTGGATGTCATTAAAACGTTAATTAGAGCAGTCTCAGTGCTTTGTGACTGGAACACATCAAAACAGTTATTTAGTTCCAATACAGTCTTTCAGTTGTTGAACTTTTTTATTATTTTACCCGGCCTATAAACTTTCATCAGTGAAGCGCCTAGGTTTGTCTTTAAGAGTGGTTTGATGACTGCAGATTTCAGGGCCTGTGGGAATAAATATGAAAAACAGGAAGTGTTGGTGAAGGTCCATCAGGAGTCTGGCACCTGGTGGAATGCTCTCATTGAACATTATTAGGATACATGTGAGAGATAAGTTAAAGTAACGTGGTGTTGAAGCATCAAATAAAGGAGGCCTCTCTGCTGGGGGTTGAGTTGTTTGAACATTAGTTGTGTTGTTTCCCTAAAGTCTGACAGAGAGAGACTCCCTCTGGTGGATGTTGATCAGTATTGTGATGTCTTTGCTCCAGAGGTTTTTGTACAGAGTGTTGGTGTTTCCTGTCACTGTGGGCCTCACAGCACAGTAGTACACAGCAGAGTCTGTCACTGCAGCAGAGGAGATGATCAAATTGATTCGGTTTGACTCCACTGTAATCTTCAGTCCAGGGATTGGGTTAGTTCCTACAGCGCCGGAAGCAGAGTGTGAGATGAGGAACTCTGGTGGTTCTCCAGGATATTGTTGATACCAGAAGTAATAATTAGCATTAGATCCAGCTTTGTAGGACAGAGTAACAGAGCTGCCTTCTGGACTGAACTCTTCTGTTTTGACTGGAGTCAGATCTGCACAGCTGACGCCTGAGGGAAAGATGAACTCTGTTATTTAATGTTATTAAAGTTATTTTAGCAGAACCACACTCAGAAAGCATTGACACTGATGTTTTATCCAGAGTGCAACTAACCTGATAAGATTGCAAACAACATCAGAGAAAAAGCTGAGTTCTGCAGGGACAGCATGTTGAATGAAGGTGATGATGATGGTCTGTGTTGAACTCTGGTGAATATGGAAGTTCCTCTCTCTTCTATAGTTCAGGAACATCTTAGCTCCTCCCTGAATCTCTCTGTCTCCTCTTAGATCTGTATTTCACTTCTCAGTTACACTTCCTCCTGGTTTTCATGTCATCACGTGTGTGTCGTCTGCATAGCTATGGTAACTTATTTCATTGTTATCCATTAACTAAGCTACTGGAAGCATGTAGATGTTAAAGAGAAGAGTCCCCATGATGGAGCCTTGAGGAACCCCACAGGTCATATTCGTCCACTCAGATGTTGAGTTACCTATAGAAACAAAGTGTTTCCTGTCCTTTCAGTAGGATGCAGACCAATAAAAACAGTGCCAGAGTCCCACCCAGTTTTCCAGTCGGTCTAGTAATATGTTGTGGTCAACAGTTTCAAATGCAGCGCTGAGATCTAATAATGCTGACAGTGAGATTCTGCCACTGTCTGTGTTTAAGTGGATGTCATTAAAACGTTAATCAGAGCAGTCTCAGTGCTGTGTGACTGGAACACATCAAAACAGTTATTTAGTTCCAATACAGTCTTTCAGTTGTTGAACTTTTTTATTATTTTACCCGGCCTATAAATGTTCATCAGTGAAGCGCCTAGGTTTGTCTTTAAGAGTGGTTTGATGACTGCAGATTTCAGGGCCTGTGGGAATAAATATGAAAAACAGGAAGTGTTGGTGAAGGTCCATCAGGAGTCTGGCACCTGGTGGAATGCTCTCATTGAACATTATTAGGATAAATGTGAGAGATAAGTTAAAGTAACGTGGTGTTGAAGCATCAAATAAAGGAGGCCTCTCTGCTGGGGGTTGAGTTGTTTGAACATTAGTTGTGTTGTTTCCCTAAAGTCTGACAGAGAGAGACTCCCTCTGGTGGATGTTGATCAGTATTGTGATGTCTGTGCTCCAGAGGTTTTTGTACAGAGTGTTGGTGTTTCCTGTCACTGTGGGCCTCAGAGCACAGTAGTTCAACCCGGAGAGACGTGATGTAAGAATTACATATTTATTGTTTACACGTCATATGAATGAAATGATTGCCATGATAGTACAACAGGAGAATGTAATGGTGTTTGGCGATTAGGCCCCCGGTTTGCAGGATAATCATTCAGGAGGGAAAGCACCGCTCCGATGAAATCCCCGGGGTCTAGACACTGGTGGTGGTGATGAGTAGGTGAGACCAGTCTGAAGGAGGAAGGTTTAGCTTTGTCCTGAAGGAGACGGGAGGCGAGAGGGGTGGAGGCGGGTTGCGTGTGATCATCTGCAATGACAACTGACAGGGAGGAAGAGCAGGTATTTAAGGCATTTAGCATGTGCAGCGATTGGCTGCTGAGGCATGACGCCCTCATATTTAATGAGGGGGGAAGGGAGCCATAGAGTGACGTGTGAGTGACTCGAGTTAGGTCTTCCTTATTGAACTTGCGCTAAAGCTTTCATTTCAACCCGGAGAGACGTGATGTAAGAATTACATATTTATTGTTTACACGTCATATGAATGAAATGATTGCCATGATAGTACAACAGGAGAATGTAATGGTGTTTGGCGATTAGGCCCCCGGTTTGCAGGATAATCATTCAGGAGGGAAAGCACCGCTCCGATGAAATCCCCAAAACCAGTGAAGTATGAATACTGAGATGAACTGAGTTGCTTACCTTGTGGAGTGACTGGTGATCTGGGGAGGAGAGATAATAGATTAACACGTATATGAGCGACACTGTGCCGGAATCACTGCCGGAGCTTACTGGTCATGCTGAGACTCTGACTGCCGAAATCAGTGCCGGTCTTATCTGAAAACGACCTGCGGGTCGCATGCCTGGCCAGCAGGGCTTGACTACGCCGAGGAGCGAGCGGTTTCGTTTTGTAACGGTGGCCCAACGTCCACGACACCGAAGTGTACGGTAGCCTTCCGCTACGACACCGAAGTGTACGGTGGCCTTCCGCCACGCCTGACTTCGCAGGCTATATATATATATATATATTTCTCTTTATTCTTTTTCCTTTGTTTTGTAACTGACACCGAAGTGTACGGTAGCCTTCCGCTACGACACCGAAGTGTACGGTGGCCTTCCGCCACGCCTGACTTCGCAGGCTATATATATATTTTTTCTTTACTCTTCATTTCTTTTCCTTTGTTTTGTAACTGGCACCGAAGTGTACGGTGGCCTTCCGCCACGCCTGACTTCGCAGGCTATATATATATATATATATATATATCTTTACTCTTTCTTTATTTCCTTTGTTTTGTAACTGACACCAGAGTGTACGGTGGCCCGAGTCCACGCGGACTGCAGGAAATACATTTTACACTGATGCGTTTGAGCAAGGCCTGGGAATGAAATACCTGTGTGCCGGAGATGAAGCACATTACCTGTAGTTGCGGCGTGAGACGAGACATTATTCCCTGTGGGCGGGGCCCGCGGAATTAGGACAGGAATGCAGTTTTGAATATCGGGAACCTTAGTGAGACATGTATACTTGTGAATGTGTTTGAGCCACCACCAGTTATATGTATAACTACCATAGTTGTTAGGGTCTGAGAGATCTTTGGGAAGCCCGTACGGCGCTGATGTCCGGACGAATGAAGGTTGTGAAGGCGGAGGAGGACCACCGTCCTAGTTGTTGTAGGGATGAGGTAGAGAGACCTTGATTAGCAGCAGAGGTGGCTGCACCTATCCTGAAGGAATGCCCGGGTATGATATGGGTGATCGGCTGGATTTAGTGAGAACTTGCTTGGGTAGAAATTGACGGGGCCATGACCCTGCGAACCACTCTCCCTGGAAGAAACCCCCCAAAACCCATGGATGGGCGGCATCCGTGAAGACCTCATTGAGTCAGAGGAACGCACGAGGCCATCGTAAATAAAGTAATTCCGTTCCAGTGGGCGAGCAGGAGGGACCGGAACCGAAGGTCTGAGCGGCAGCCTTCGTCTAAGAAAACGCAGTCATGGAGGTTGTCGACCGCTGATGCTGCGTCCAGGAGGCGGGAGATGAACGAGCGCCCCTGGGGGATGACGTGCATGGCGAAGTTGAGGTGTCCGAGAAGGGAGAGCAACTGTTGTTTTGTGATAACTTGTTGCTCGCAGTATGACTTGGTGATGTCCTGGATGCGCTGCGATTTGTCGGAGGGGAGAGACGCCTTCATGTCTATGGAGTCGAGGATGATGCCTAAGAACTCTAAGCGTGTGACGGGACCTAACGTTTCTCTTTGGAGAGAGGGACACCTCACTCCTGAAGCAGTGTTTAAGCTTGGCCAGTGAGATCCCTGAGCTGTCCTGTGGCGGGTTTATGGGGAGGAAGTCGTCCGGTAGGTGAAGGACGGAGGGGATTCTGACGATGTTCAGCAGGATCCAATGGAGCGCTTCCGAGAAGGAATTGAAGATGCAGGGGCTGCTTCTGCACCCGAAGGTCGTGCGAACGCGAAGATAGAGTTTGGACTCCCACTTAATACCGAACAAGTTCCACTGAGACGGATGAATGGGGATGATTTGAAGGCATCGGTAATGTCCGCTTTGGAGAGCCGAGCTCCGTGCCCTGTGAACTTGATCATCTTTATTGCATTATCCACTGAGGCATGGTGAAGGGAGAACTGATCTGGAGGGATGATGCTATTGACGCTGCAGAATGGGCCGGAGCAGGGAGCGGACAGATCGAAAATCAGCCTTTTATTTACGTGTGGCTATTCCGATGGGATTTGAACGGAACACTGAGAAGGGGGAGGAGCTAAAAGGACCGATTATATATCCTTTGAGAAGTTCTTTGTCGATGAGCTGGGAAACTATGTTGGGTTCTTTAGCGGCTGACTGTAAGTTTCTTGCTACGAAAGTCACTGTGGGAGATGGGAGGGCTCCTACCCTGAAGCCTTGGGAGAGCCATGACGGGAGATAGTCAACGAACACGGAATCTGTAGATAGCGCAGCTGCTAGCTGAGGGATGTTAATGGGAGTGGAGGGGTGATATTCCAGAATGTTTTTTTTTTTTTTTTTTTTATGTTTCTGGCGCAGAGCCACTGTGACGGCCCGTCCACACGGTGGCGTGCGTTACAGATTCCGACGCTTCTGCCCATTCACTTTGAATGGGGTGACGTCACTTTTAGTAGAACTGTATTTTGGGAAGCGACGTGGAGCGTTTGCTGGCGTTGCTCGCTTCAAAAAGTTGAGCAATGTTCAACTTTTGGCGCCTCGGCAGAAGCGTCAGCCAATGAAGTCCCGTTTATGCAAATCTGCCGGTACAAGCGCTAGCCAATCAGACCGCGTGTATGTTGGGAGAGACTACGCAGGTAATTCCTCATATTCCAAAAATGTGAGGGAAAATTCATTATAGCGGTAGTGAATCACCCGGTGCTGTATGATCAGTCTCTGTTCATCTACCGGGATACAAACCAGAGGAGCGAGGCATGGAGGGAGGAGGCAGGGACAGTGGGTGAAACTGGTAGGTTTTCGCCTGTTGGGGATTTTTTTTCCTTTCCAGTTTACTTAGTTTTAACATTGCTATTGCTTTGTGTGTCGGGGGCAAGAGATTCATGTGATTGGTTGTTGCTGCTGTGCGGACCAGTAGCGTAGGCAGAAATTTACTTTAGGGTGGGCCTGTAAAAATATAGGGTGGGCCAGATTTTCTTCTGCGCATCGGAAACTAACCACGATCCCGCCGGTACCGGTGGCAGATTACTTTTAGAATACTTCCTTTCCTCTTCTTTTTCTTCTTTCCTCCTCTTCTTTTTATCTTTTCTCCTTTTCCTCTTCTTTCTATCTTTTCCTTTCTTCTTTCTCTTTAGAATACTTTCTTTTCCATAACAGATGGGTATGTTTTGGTGAACGGGAGACACGTATTTTACTGTTTTAATGGCTTATGAAGAGCACGAACACGACATTTTAGTGTCATTCTTGACAGCTCTCTCATCTGCACCGCACATAAAAAGAAAAACTCACCCAGATTGCATTCTTTGTACTGTCTTAAAACCTTTCCTTGGAAAAGTGTA